TCTGCGATCTTTTCTATTTTGAATTCGTGCATATTTGGTGCGTCGTCTTCTTTCATTCCATAAATTGCTTCATCCTATCGATTGATGGTCGAATGCTTTGTGCCTCGGTGAATACACTCTCGAAAAAAAAACCATTGATTTGCTCCGTTTGCTATTCGAATTGTAAACACACTCGCAGCCAGTGTAACAGCAGTATGCATTTGCAATTGAGTGAGTGTCGTCTCTCATTCCCCATTCTGGTGTATTGTGAACTTCAAAAGCACGTATATCAATAATAAGAGATAGTTTGCCATTTTGTTTATATATTCAATGGGTTCACATGTCGCATTTTTTCCATACAAAAGTAAATCATTTTCGCTGCTCGGCTCGTTTGCATCACAGCAAAACAGTTATTCCATCGATTCCATGACCGACCGATCGGCCCAAAACCGAATATCTGCATGCAGCTAACTCAGCATCATATACATTTGGAATTGCTGTTCCATGAAAGCGGTGAACATAAAACGGGATCTGTATTTTTTTTGTACATGTGAATTAAAACCAAAAAATGAAAAGCAACAGAAGAAAAGAAAAACGCGAGTCGCATCAGTCGAAACGAATACGAGCGCGCGAATTAAAGTCGAATGACGCGAAATGAAGAATGGATGGCACATCGACCGATGTGCGTCGCATAAAACCCATTGACTTATTATGATTATAATGCAACAGTATGATTTAATTCGCCATTTAAACAAGATATTAAAAGGAGTTTTCTTGATTTTCGCACAGAGCGCGCGAGCACACACAGAAGAGCCACCCATGCAAGACACGAGAAAGAAAGAAAAAAAATAATTGTTTTGTGTTTACGCATTGTTTTTGCCTCGCGCACGTTCAGCCCATTCCCCAGATCAAGATGACGACAACGTTGGAGAAAGGAGCCAAACGAAATGAACACATACACACACACCAAATTGATGGACCATCGAAAAGTCCAGCAAAATTATTCATAAAAATTAATGAAATTCAATGAAAGTATATTTCGGTTTATCGATTGCTGAACATTTTCTTTTGTCCGAAATTTAGTCATTTTTTCTCTTCATTCGGTGTTTTTTCTTTTGTAGCGAGCGGGCATATGTTGACCAGATTTCACAGATATGCGTAAAAATATCGTTTATTAAAATGTTATTATGTGCATAATAATAAATGAAAAACCAAAATTAAGATCGTAAAAACCATATGTAAATGTTTTGAGTGCCTCACATTTTATGCGTACGGTCGAAAGTGAGCGAGTGAGCAAGCGATCGACTCAGCTAAATATAAAGATTTAAACGAGTACAGCATACATTTATGTTTGTTTCGATTCGATACGATTCGTGCCGGTTGAATGTGAGTGTTAGAGCGGCGATTTATCAGCTCATCGATTCCTACATGTGTTGCGAGTATTTTAATGTTCCGTTTTTCAGGTATTAAGTTGTATGGTTTTGAATAGGTCGTGAGGTTATGTAAGCCTGATAACCGATACTGGATTGAAGCATACTTGTCTTATGATAAGGCTTCGAAGCGAGCATTCTCAAAGCGGAATGGCTGAAATTTTGATAATTTTCGCAATGGCAAACAAGAAATCGTCGAATATTATCAGCAGCAACAGCGTTTTCCTTCAATTCAATTCAACGCATTTTTTCTACGGCTCTCGCCGTCAATTCATAGACGTTGACCGCAAATTAGCATATGAAATAGACGAAAATTTAGCAAGGCTACAGGAAGTTTTAGAGATGCCCTTGCCTTGACATTTTCACATATTTCATTCTGATTTGCGTTCTCCTTATTCTTTTCGGGCTATTTACTGCCCAAATCTTATCAATGAGCCACTTGTTTATTTGTAGCAGATTAAACATGAAAACTATTTGTTCATATTTCGTTTGAGTAGTTAATTTGCACACTGTTGATTGACCACTTTGTAGGCATTTTTTTCATTCATCTCTGTCCTCTGCTTCAGACGACGATGTTATCAATCTGTATGGCTTCATTGAGGACAGTGTATACCATTTCAACTGGTTTATCGCTTTTTTCTTTCAATTTTCTGCGCAAACGTCTATGGTCAAACCAATGCACTACTACCAAATCATTGGATGTTTGTTTTTCGATCGATGCGATCGCATCAATATAGTACGGTGGATGCCAATCCAAGCCACCCATAAACAATCTCATTTCATTCTGTTGATGTTATAATAACACAGCTCCATAGAATGCGATCCGTTTTTTTTTTATATTCGTTCATCGTTTCTGCGAGTTATTAAATCATTTCATGTGTGCGAGCAAAACCATTGTTTCAGTATGCATTTCTCTATAGCGCTCGACTTTTTTCCTTTGCTCTTCTGTTCTCGATCTCTCTCTCTCTCTCTCTCTTTTGGTCATGCTCTTTTCTCTTCCTTTCTCTCTCTATCTCTGTCCTGCTCACAGAATCTTTGATGCAGACTTGAATACGCGTATCGAGAGAATCAGATGCACGCTGTTTAGAGAGTGAGAGATTTTTGTTGTCTCAGTTTCAGTGTATGTTTATGTGGTCACGAACCATCGTATTTTATGTGTGCAGATAAATTTAAACTTTTTTTTGTTGACTTCTATTCCGAGGTTTTGGTGTATGTGTGTGTGTGATCAGCGTTATTAAACATTTTTTCCGTCTCGATTTGCGGCTCGTTTTTTCCGTATTCCATCTGTAGTCGGTTTGGATCGTGTGTTTTTGATTTCATTTTCGAATTAGTTCACATCACATCCAGCCAGCCAGACAACCAGCAATCTATTTGATGCTTGGGGCCGATTTTGAGGCGTTGCATATAGTACGCTTCATAATGGTTAGATTTTGTGTGATGCACTTATTAAAAATCGCCGCCGTCGCCAATGTTGCTTCGATTGACTTCTAAAACGCCAGATGACGAATTTTCGGGGCCGCATACCTTTTTCATTCAATGGATAATAAATTAAACTTTTACAAAAGATGCTAGAGCCAGATAGCATTCAATAATAAAATTATATTCAATGAGCCGAAGCGCATACGCATTGCTTAATCGATTGCGATCGACAAAAGACTCACTGTGCGAACGAAGCGCGCGCGAAAAGCAATTGAAAATTCGAAGCTCAGATATCAATCTTCAAATGCATACACAAGCGATGGACAATCAAAGTAAACGAGAGAGAGAGCAAAAAATGGCATATATTTCGTATTCGGGCTACTAGCCGAGCTGCAACTTGCAGCCTGCAAGGGATCGTAAGCATAAAAACAGCTTCCATCATAATGAATGGGAAGAGAACAAAGATATACATACACATATACATTTCATATAAATATTTCACCTAATGGCTATATTTTATATAAAATATTCACTTTGTTCCTTTCTTTTTGAGCTATTTTGCGCATGTGTCGTTCGTTGCTTTGCTTTGATACATTTTTATGCTTCTTTGGCCCGCGAAGAACAAAAAACACGAGAGGGAGAGGAAGAGAGAGAGAGAGAGAGAGAGAGAGAGAGAGTCGTAATGGCATTCTTCTTTTCGGAACGTCGCTTCACAATCGCTGATACACATTTAAATGTGCAAAACAGCGATGCGCGAACGACTCTGCACATATCAACAGCGATATGCGACTTACGAATCGCTTTTTTGCTCTCTCACCGAAAGATCAAAATCTGATGCGCGCGCGAGCGCAACACATGAAAATGCAACACAAAATGAAATGACCGACAGCAAAGAAGACCGTTTAATATAAAAGATTAAATAGAAGTTCAGACAACTTGTTGCACTTGTTTCTAACGCCGAAATCATTTTTCACTTTGTCCGCCCTTTTTTTCGTGTGTGTGCTCCGCTTTTTTTGTGTGCACATTAAATAAGTCGAGCAAATTTTTTCTGCTGGATGAGATCAAAATACAAACACATTATATTTAGAGGAGGCTCTCGAACAATATTCTAGATCGATGTTATTCGATGAACAATTTGCGAGATCATTTACAAATCGCTAATGACAACATTTCAAAGCTGTACACAGAGAGAGTACGTAACCTGATGTGTGTGTATAAAGTGTCTATGCACACGAAATATGAAACGACAAGAATTTCTACAGCTCATTCTGAATATGCATGCATACAGTGGCTTTGGCAACGAAAACTATGGCATTTACATTGGCTGGTTACTTTGCACAGCGTTTTCAATTGTTCGTCGTCGATCGATGGCACAGTGCAAATGGTGAAAAAAAGGCGATGAAGGAAAAATTGTGCCGAGTCGATCACGAATATGTTGTATGTTTCAAGCAGTATGCGCAAAGCTTACGTTCCGTTTTGCTTGAGTGTGATTTTTTCGGTCGTAATTTGTTGGTCGTTGTCGTCGTTGTTGTTCTTTTTCTTCGATTTTGTTCAGGTTCTTGTTCCCATCGTCGATGTTATTGAATGGCATTTAAAACGCCGAATAACAATCGCATATAAAAGGTACTCCGAATCACATACCATAGTGTGTGTTGATTCTCTTCGTTCGCGCGTAACAGTTTTTTTTGTTCATAAAGAGAGAGAATACGCTTGGGTCCAACTTGTTAGAAGTGTGCACAGAATCGACGCCAATCTCAGCGGTGATTGTGTTGCCTAACAACAACAACAACAACAACATCGAAATGAACACAAATACACACACGACATCGAAAACACAATGCAGTGGTGATCGCGCGCCTTAATCGAATCGTCAGCAACAACAATTTTTGTTCCATTCGTCAAAGAGAAAATGCAGGAGAAAATAATGCACCGCTTATGACACACACAATTTGATTCCAGTCAACATTACTATAGTGGAAGTTGCAACAGCACGTGTTGTCTACGAATTTATATATAGAACAAAACGAAATGTTGCACAGTAATCGTGTAGCATGGCGCAGTTGCATTCACTTCGACGGCTGAGCTCAAGGAATTGTGTGTGTGTGTGTGTGTTTGTGATAGAAGCGGAACTGTTTGGGCCGTATGTATAGATGTAAATATCTCTTGCGAGTAGTACATAGCATGCTGTTCGCAGCACTTGCAACAACCCCAATTATTGTGCTCATATCATTTCGAAAGCGCCGAGCAAAAACGATCATCTCTTATCAGAAGCGCTCAGTTCATTGAGTAGCAGCGGCAACGGCACCACATTTGTTCCATTGGAATTTATGTAAGACTTCCAGTATGTTTCGACAACGAATTCGTTCGTTTGTTCGGTCGGCACAGTCAATCGGCTGCCACTTGGAATTGCCGACAATCATTTGTACAGTGGATCGGGTTACTGCGATCAGTTGGCTGTGGACTCTCGACGCGATCGGTTGGAAAAATTGGCCGCTGCGAAAATAAGTGTGGCATTGTTTTTTCAAACAGAATAAAAAAGAACTTTGAAATATTTTCAATTCAAGTGACTACAGCTGAAAAGTTTTTTTTCCTCGCCAAGAAGGTACTGAGAAAATATGATTGAATTATTTTTCGGACTCTTAACAAGGAATATTTAAGAAAAAAAAATGTTTAATTTGAAGAAGATTTTTGGAGAAATGAAGAATATCGAGATTCTTTTTTCGATATAAATTGTGTTGTTATTTGATGGTGAAAAAAAAAAACAGATCAACACCGCAATCGGATACAATTTCTACGATTTTTCCTTAGTTTTGCACTCTAGGATTAAAGACTTTGGATTTTTCGTATTTCCGTCGATAAATGTAAATTTGTGTGCAAGTTGTTGAATTTTGTGCTCGACGACGGGAAAAACGAAGAAAACGCTTCGATTTAATGGAATCTTTTTTTGGACTTTTTCCCTATATATGTTTCCCACTCATATCATTGGATATTTTTGATGGTGCCTATTTTTAGTGTTTTTCAGTGCTGCGATGTTGTCGTTTATTCTCCAGAAAATTCTTTAACGATTCCATTCTGTTTATGGTTGCTTTTAAACATTTGAATTTTACGACTTTTCAATCTCTCGGATTTTTTTGGGAGATTTTTTTCTCGAAAAATCATCGAAAATCTTTACAACTGTTCATCGAAAATTCAGTCTATCAAACTCTACTATGTTTTAGTGAATTTGAGTTTTTCATAAATTTTCGTGATATTTCATACAGTTCACAGTGCATTAAAAATTGAAAACAACAATATTTTCCAGATTGCACGGGAATAAGTGATCACAGAACGGTGATCAAATCAATTGATCGAGTTTTTGAACGCTTGGGGAAGGGCCGTCGACGGCCTGGGGTATAAATCTACCAATCATGGATACCCCAATATTTAGGTAAGTTTTTTTGACTAAAAGAGAAAAAAAAAATGAATTAACGAAAAAGAGAAAAAAAAGCAACTAGTGAAAGAAAAATAGTGAAACACAATGGAGTTTTATGGAAAAATAGCTTCAAATCCTGTGGCAAAACATGAATGAAATTGTGAATATAAAACAATGTGTTAAATATTTGTTCAAAGTTGATTTGCTTCCGACACGCTTAAACTTATAACGAACATTCATTTTATGGACTGTAACAAAAGAACATTGCCACTATGTTCATTTGAATTGGCTGCGTTTGCATTACTTGAGTAAATTTTCACAAAAAAAAGGATAGCGTGTTGTTGTTTTTTATTCGCTGGAAAAAAAATTACATAGAAAGAGAAATGTGATACTAAAGTGACTGGCTCATACTGTAATCCTCTCAGAACAAAAATAATTGAACATTTTTAAAACGCTTTGCACATGTGATCGTCGACGAATGCCCGAACTTGCAGTTTATTTTCTAAAGTGCTACCTCACCAATAAATTCGGACTAAAATTTCGTTTGAAAAACATTATGCATAAGAACTCCAGAAAAAGAGAAGAGAAAAGAACAAATTTATAGAAAAAACCGTATTTATTTCTCCTTTCAGATTAGCAACCGTTTGCTTGTTAAGCTCAGTTGTTATAATAGAAACACACGCGGTAAATAAATGTGATAATGGAATATATGTGAAATTGTGAAAATTGAAAAATTCTTCTTGTGTTTTTGTGCAATAGCAATTTTGGCATGATGCCTCTGATACAAGAGGTGGTATTAGATCATGGCCACGCAAAGATGTCGAACAACCGCCTCTTCATATTGACAGCAGTTACGATGTAGTCGATGTACCGAATGCACCAAAAAAGAATTGCACCGGTTCGGGTGGAAATTGTATTCCAAAATGTTTCGCCGAAAAAGGAAACAGAGGATTTCCCGGAATTCCAGGCTTACCCGGCCCAAAAGGTTCGCTACTCAAATGCTTATGAATTTCCTTTTTTTCACACAGAAAATTAATCGTTTTGATACCAAAAGTGTACTTTTGTTTTATGAAAAGAAGTCAATGCAGTAAAATGTGTGAAATGAAAATTTGAATGAGCTCCTGTGGGACAAAATAAGAGAGAAAAACATAGACGACATGCAGAAATAAAACGATAGTGGTATACATTTGAATTGAGTTCGGTAAAATGTCTTGGAACAATTTTGTAGATGAGAATTTTTTTTGTTTAATAATTCGAGACACGTGTCGAACATTTCACATTTATCTGATTTATGTCTTATTGAAAAAATGAGTATTTTTCAATGAATAAGAGCAACGTAACAAAATGATTAATTTTAGTGATGAAAATAGACTATAACACAGTCTATTTATGTTCCTCGGGATAAATTTATCCTAAGAATAAATTTTTTTGGTCAAAATACCAAAATTTCCAGCAAAATTCTTACTTTTGGCGTTGTAAATTGATGTTAAACATCATTTCTGTTCTTAATGATTTCATAAATATGAAAAATTTCCATTCATATCGAAATTTTGTAATTTTTTTTTATACTAGGGATAAGCACTTCAGAGGTATAAAGTAAGTAATTGTTAGTTTTTTGCTCAAAACACAGTCGAACTTGGAGTTTAAATGAATAATCTCTGGTATTTATCTTAAATTTTAAGGATATGGACATTTCGAATCAATCTTTTGTCAAAAAATTTCAACATTTTGCTATACCAGGGATAAAATTTACGACCATGTAGGGACCTGGTCATAAATTTTATCCCTCGGATAGTGAAACGTTGAAAATTTTTGGCAAAAAATTGATTCGAAACATCCATATTATTAAAATTTGTGACGAGCAACTGGGGAATATTGGCTAAAACTTCCAGTTTAACTGTGTTTTTGAGCAAAAATTTAGAATTACTTACTTTATACCTCTCAAGTGCTTATTCCTGGTATAAAAATAAATTACAAAATTTCGATATGACTGGAAATTTTTCATATTTATGAAACCATTAAGAACAGAAATGATGTTTAACATCAATTTACAACGCCAAAAGTAAAAATTTTGCTGGAAATTTTGGTATTTTGACCAAAAAAAATTATCCTTAGGATAAATTTATCCCGAGGAACATAAATAGACTGTAATTGCATTTACCAAAAATTCACGTGTGAATAATATTTATCTAAACAAAAACCAAATAGGTGTACAAGGTTTTAGTGGGAATGAAGGATTACCAGGGGCGAAAGGAAGCAAAGGTGATCCTGGTTTATCAGGCCCTCGTGGACCAAAAGGCAAGTGATTTTAAAACGCAATCGGAAGATCATCGATCAATTATTAATCCGTTTGAATCCGTTTGAATCCAATCTCAAAATTGGCTTTAAGCATAAAATTGTATATAAATACTAACACTATTCACAATGATTATTTACAGGTGATCGCGGTAAATCTGGCATCCCAGGTTTTCCAGGTATGTATTTGAGCAGAGTCTTAACGAAAAATGTTTCACATGAGTGAAATTGGTCGCTGAGTATATTTGAGCTTGTTTGTATAACAATGTGTTTTCTCGTAGGTATTGCTGGATTGACGGGTATTACAGGAAATCCTGGTGCACCTGGTATACCTGGTGTTGATGGATGTAATGGAACCGACGGTAAGATTCATTTCTCACTTACTTCGAACTTTAGCTCAAAAATATGATTTTCATTCGATATTTGTTTCTTCGAACTAAATATGCAATGAAGCTCTGATATATATTACATTTCAGGCATATGTAATGCTAATGTAATATTACACCGACATATTCCGAAAATATTGAAAGAATATAAATAAAATTGCTGTAAAAAAAATTCATTTAGAATAAACAAATTTTGCAACTGTATACAAATTCACTAATTTCTCTTCTGAATTTAATAGGTTTGTCCGGTATTCCTGGTCTCGATGGTGTTCCTGGTCCAAGAGGTTATCCTGGTGTTGACGGTGGCAAAGGAGAGAAAGGTTAAACATATTGAATGATTTATCGAACATAACCGAATTAAACAAAAAAATCGTTTTGTCACGTACTTTAGGTGAACCTGCCGCATATCCAGACAATTATTTGAAAGGACAGAAAGGTGAACAAGGTTTTGATGGATTGCCCGGTGCTCATGGGCCATCTGGCGAGCCAGGTCCAAGAGGACCACCCGGAAACGATGGACCACGTGGTTATCCAGGATTGAAAGGTTTGACTGTAGAAAATTGATACATTTTTGTTGAATTTAAAATTTGGTTTTTAATTTTTTATTTTGTGAGACTATGAGGAGAATATGTTTATGAGCTTTTTTCTTGGTCTAATTTACTCGCAATCGATACAAAAGATTACAACAAACACTCTTCGGCTAAATTATAGTAACATTTGATAACATTGCAGAAGGCAATTCACAATTATGTTTTTTTCAGTTGCAAATATTGCACATTCGAAATTAAGCGAAAAAACATACTCTAATTACATTCTCAGCGATAAATTTGTTTGTTTTCCATATAGATCAAGAATAACATAATATTCAACTTTCATAATAGGTGATCCTGGACCAAAGGGTACGCCAGGCTTATCATGTAAGTATTTTGCTTTGAAACGTTCACTCTTTACATCGATATTTATGTGCCAAAAAATGACGGAATAATTTGGTGGAAGAAATCAAACTGTTGATTGAGACTCATGCAAATTCTACTAAATGCGAAGCAGCTCTGTCGTTTTTTTGCACATATATGGTGATGAATTCCTGCGTTTGATTCCTTACAGACATCTACGGTGAAATGTAATGCATTTTTTTTATGAAATAGGTGTTCACACCACTGGGCCACCAGGACCATCTGGAGATAAAGGAGACAAAGGTGAACGAGGTAAAAATTCCAATAAGATCTTACGAAATGATAGGAAAAATGACTGAAAACAGTTATTAAACACATTTCATATGCATATTGTAGGCACATCCGGCATTGAACAATCTTCAGGAAAGCCATCCATTGAATCTGTTGGACCAAGAGGTAATTGAGCTAAAGTTAAAGTTCGAAGCAACTTTGTTATCCAATCAAATTGAATTCAAATTTTAGGTGATCGCGGAGATACTGGCGAGAAAGGTGATATCGGTCTTAAAGGTGATTTCGGACCTGCAGGTGAAAAAGGACATCCGGGTGATTTGGGATATAAAGGAGAAAAAGGTTTGCCTGGCCAACCGGGTCCAAGAGTAAGTTTCAGTTTATTCATCTAAATCTTCAAAGGCTTTGAAAATGTAGAATGATAGAAAGCAAACTAACGTTTTAACTGAATTTCAAGCATTCATTGAATTGACGGAAGCTGCATACAATTAAATTCTCTAATTTTTAGGGTCGTGATGGAAACTATGGTCCACCAGGTCAAGTTGGACAGAAGGGAGATCGTGGTATTGAAGGATTGCGAGGATTGGATGGAAAACCAGGTAAATTCAACACGCCAATACAATTTGTCAATATTCAACAAAATAAATGTGTTTAATATTGATGGTATGCTTCTATACTTTCCGTAGGTTTAAAGGGTGAACCCGGAAGAGAAGGTATCGCTGGATCTACCGGTATTCCCGGTCCACCAGGTATGTAACATTAGAAAAAATGTCGATAATAATAATTTTCTTTTTCTGTAAAATTATGCTTAAAAATAATATTTCAATAGAAATTCTTGCACACAATTGATAATATGCTTTTTTTTCTTCTCCATCATAGGTCCACCTGGTGGCGGAAAAGGAACCCCAGGTAAATAAAGCAAATGAAAGAATGACATTTGATAAGAAATATCACTGAAATCAAGAGAATTTCGTGTTAAATGATGTATTAATTTGTTGATTTTGGATTTTATAGGTGCGCCTGGACCAAAGGGACCTCGAGGTATGTATATTGAATGATGAATGATGATGTCGTTAAAAATGGTTGTTCAACTGGATTTTCAATTTTAATTTTAAATCATAGGTTATCGTGGCTCGCCAGGACCGAAAGGATTAGATGGTTTTCCAGGTGAGCCAGGAGAAAGAGGGCCATACGGTCCAAAAGGTGGTCTCGGAATTCCTGGGTAAATATTATTTAATTCAATTAATGCTTTCATTATCCAAAAAAGTTGCGATTTTGGCCACTTTTTTCTAGCCTCTTATCAATGAGATTGTAGATTTATTATGCTTGTCTATTTGTGAATTTTGTATTTCTTGTATTATGGAAATGCAAAAGTCTCGTCTTCAAATGAATATGTGTAAATACACTGAAATACGATAAGCTTCCGAAAATTCAATACTCGGTTGTTTTTATACAGAATTAGTGATGATATTTATAATGAAAATCATAAATTTTAGACGACCAGGCTCAGAAGGATTCCCAGGTGAAAAAGGAGAGAAAGGAAATAGCGGAGCTATCGGTCTACCAGGACCAATTGGATTAAGAGGTGTGATGACGTTGTCACTATTTTTTTTTCAAATTTAAAGCGATTTTAAAAATTCTATTGATTGTATAGCTGTGCTCACGATTTTTTTAATCAAGATATCGTAATAAACTAAAAATATCGTTCGATATCGTTATTATGATGGAATCTTAATAACGCTATCAACTTTTTATCAGG